TTAGAAGCTGATGAAATTTAGCCCCTGATGAGTTTCCAGAATCTTCCTTTTTATTTTAATCCACACAAGAAGATGGCACGTATCTGTGGATGTTTGGATACATGTGCATACTGTACACTGTTCAAGAACCCTTTTCTTATCTGGTTCATTTTATGAGAGTTTTGGGGATGTGCAGATAATTCCAGGGGCCTGGGGGCAAGGCGTGGGGTTTGGTGGCACTCATAGCTGGCATAGATGGATGAGGTCACACTATACCTCACTGAGCCTGACCCGCACAGGGCCCAGCTGGACTCTTTCCTCAAGCAAGCTTTCACACAACTTCTCGCTCAAATAATATCTCAAGAAAGCTAGAAAGCTACACAATTATTAATGTATTATATCGACAAATGTTTGAGTGCAGGCAGCCTGTCTTTGAGAGCTATAGTCCTCTTCGGGTAGACAATTTACTCCGACAAATGTTAAAAGCTGAAGCAGAGCTTGACATCTCAATGGGGGCTACAGTAGGCGAGTTGGACAGCAGAATGGCTCACCACGCCCAGTTTAGCTGGGACAGTCCTCCACTGGGCTGTCAACACTTTCAACACTTGAGTTCAAAATCCTCCACACTTCCCTTTGACCCTCCTGCTTCTGAGTCCCCATCCCCAAGTTAAAGTTCCCTTTGCCATCTATGAAAATATCCAGTTGACAGCTGGTGCTATAAAGGGCTCTGGGTGCAGTGCAGTTTCCAACACCCTGAGCTATAAGTACCATAAAGCTCTCCTGAGTGTTGCCTTGATCCCTCTACTTTTTCTGGCCCCTTCAGCAAATACTTAATTGGCATCTACTACCCAGGAGGAAAGTTGTAGACCAGAGGAAAGTTGGCGGACACCCCACTGGATTCTTGCATTCTTTATGAGAACATGTTGAATGTTCAGTGATGCTCTTGCTGATGAGATCACTTGGACAGTCACCCTGTCTTTTTAACAGCAGAATGGAGGCCAGAGCAAGAAGTGAGTCTTGGGATGTCTTGGTGTTATGAAGAAATACCAAGCAGCTGCGTACGGGTGGGGAAAACTAGAGAGGTTGGAAGAGCAGACAGGTAACAAAGCTAGCCAGATCCCGGTCTTGCCTGGTTGCAGGCTTCCAGCAGGGGGTGTCCTAGTGCACAGAAAAGGAGAAGGTTCCTTTCTTCCTAGGGTGAGAACTGCCCCTCCAGGGCAATGAGACATCACAGCTATCTGAACCTTATCCCCTAGAGTGAACTTGCTGCAGTGTGGGGTAGGAAGAAGAGATTTGCTCATAGAAAATGAAGATAGGGATTAAAACTCTGGCTCAGCTACTTGTTAAAGTGTGGGTGTGTGAGTCCTTCTGCCCCGCAGAGCCTGTGTCCCTGAGTCCCCACAGGGCCTGTCTGTGTTTCTGCCAAGCACATGGCTTGCTGCCTTGCAATGTAAATATCGTTCTTTTTGTGTGTGTACCCCACCCTCTGACTCCATCATAGACTGAACGTCTTGATCCTCAGACTCAACCAGAGCATCGTCACCTTTGCTTTTCCCAGGGCTCAACACAGGGACCCTAAGGCTAATATAAAGGGTCAAAAATCTCTGCAGTGAGGGAGCCCCTGACACCTCTTTCCTTCCTCTCTCTCCATCCTCTAAGATCAACTTCCCTTCATCCATTTGCCGTCCCTCAGCCAGCAGCGAAGGGCAGGAGTCAAAACTGGAAACCTTTTACTCCAGCCCCAAAGCTTGTACTTTCTGGAGTGAAGCCCCTTGTTGGGGTTCTCAGAGTTGAGTGGGCATCTCAATCAGGGGAGGGCTGAATTAAACACAGGTTTCAGGACTTCAGTACTTACATTTCTGACAATAACTCAGAGTCTGGGAACCTAAACCTGCATTTCTACCTCCAAGGGATGCTAAGATCGCTGGTCCCAGGCCCAGCCTCCAGGAGTCACTGCCAGGAGATGTGGCACGCTAACCCAGGAGCGCAATGCAGATGTCTCTTCTTGACTGAAGGACCTTTGATAGGAGCAGATTGGCGATGCTTTGGAATAGAAAAACAAACCCACACGTATACAGATGTTGCCTGGTATCTGCAGGGCATTGGTCCCAGCTCCCTAACCCCTTTGAATTCCAAATCCAAGAGCACTCACACCTCTTAAAACAAATGCTTTCATATTTGTGTGTAATCAATGCACTTCCTCCTGTAGACTTTAAATCACATCTAAAATACTTATAATACCTACTATGCTCTAAACACGATGCAAACAGTTGATAGACTATGTGTCTTAGGGAATGAAGACACAAACAACTGAGCACGCTCAGTGCAGACTAAACTTATTTGAATGTTTTTGATCTATGGTTTGTTGAGTCCATAGAGGTGGAATCCACAAATACAGACGGCCAGGTGTGTACTCATATGTAAGCAGGTGCTGATCATCAGAGTCCAGGAATGACAGTGGATTTGAAGTTTAACTCTGAATTCAAAGTCAGCTGTCATGACTGTTGTGGTTTGAATGAGAAATGTCCCCCACAGGCTCATGTATTTGAACACTTGGTTGCTGGTTGGCAGAGCAGTTTGGAAAGATTATGGAACCTTCAGGAGGTGGAGCCTTGTTGGAGGAAGTTTGTCACTGGGAGTGGGTTTTCAGGGTTGATAGCCTGGACCCACTTCCTGTTCTTTCTCTACTTCCTGTGTGTGGGTGAAATGTGATCTTTCTGCTTCTTGTCTGCCAGGCCTTGTGTTTCTCCTACCATGCCTTCCCCACCAAGATGGATTCTACTCCCCTGGAACACCAAGCCAAAGTGAAGCCTGTCTCCTCGAAGTTGTTTTTGGTTATGGAATTTTGTTACAACAAAAATAAAGTAATTAATGCAAACACTTGCTAGCACCGTGATAGTGATTCCAGTGGGTCACCACTTTAGCCTATTTTTTTTTTTTAATTGCATATAAACGGGGATAAAGACACACACTTCCAAGCATGAATGTGGAGGCTGAATGCCTTTTGTGGTGCCTGGTGCATGTTAGCGCTCAGTTACTGTGGAGTGTGGTCTCAGTTGGTATGCTTCTGTCTCCGGGTACGTGAGAAACCACACAAAGTGGAAGTGGCTGTTGTCAGTGGAGCTGGCAAGCACCTGGAGAGGCTGCAGGGCAAGTTCATCTTGCTACTGCAGACAGATCCTGGGTAATGGACGTGGGAACTGTCTGTGGGACCTCGTAGGTTGATCGTTCATGGGTGCCCCAGCACTAAGCTTAGCAACTGACTTTGTACCTTCCCAGGAAGTCAGTGCACACTGCTACTTAGGAGGAGGCTGGAGAGCTAAGACCTAGGCTGAATGGTAAATGAGGGCAGCAAGCACAAAGTCTCGGAGCTGCTTTGTTAAGTGACAATGGCAGTTCTGCCATTTCCACGCCACAAGCAGCTGTTTTCCCTGAGAAGGGACCATGAAGATGGTTGGTGAGGTTCAATTAGAGCACGGGTTAAGCTCTAAGGATGTAACAGTGAGCTCTCACTGACTTACTTATTGAGAACCTATTCTGCACCGTGCACACTACAGAGACCATTGAATCACTCCCCAAATACTGTACTGTGCTGGGTTCAAAGGGATTCAGCAGCAAAGAAGAATCTACTTTTTCCAGAAAACATTTCTACAGCTCACAGCTGGGCACAGCTGCTGGAGGCCACACAAATAGTTAGCAAGTTGGCTGAGTTCTCAGCCCAGGTCCAGCAGACCCACTGTACACAGTGATGCTGCCCGTCCATCGCTCCCCCTACCCGATTATTCAACCTGACAATTGTCATTTCTATTGAAATGAACACATTGGTTTCATAGATACTAAAGTAAGAGAGTGGACCGAAATATGTCATTTTCAGACACTTTAATTTGATTTATATATCTCAAAAACTAATTTATATTCATATAATGCTTTCATTATAAAATATGCAGTGGTAGAGAGATTTGTGTGAATATGGGATTTTTTTTTTAAATTGGGTTTATAAATGGTCTGGAACAGGTTGCAGAAACATCATCTGTTGCTCTTTTTAATATATCTTGAGCATGCTATGACACATCTTGAAATAATTTGCTTTGGAAAAAAGCACTGCTCCCTCTCCCTCTGTCTTTCCCCCCAAATGTAACTGTAAATATTACTTTGATGTATGTAATTGCTTCAACCTCTCTCTCGGAAGGAAGGCTTCTAACCCTTCCATTTCCCAACTCTTGCTTTTGTCAAGAAATAAGAAAAACAGACTTAAAATGCATTATTCAAATGTATTTAATGTAAACATTAAAGAAATCTGAGAACAGCTACAAATTTTCCTTTCCTTAAAATGTTTGTGAAAAATACGGCTCCCATTCTGTCTCGAGGGCATCTTAGGATGCCAGGGCTGTGGATGGAGTGCTACACAGTAGGACTTGGGGGGTGTAACGCTAACATTGACTTCAACTAAATAGGGATGCCAGGACTTGATAGTAATGGAGACCTTTGGGTAATGTTGAGAAGAGAGGCCACCCCAGGAGGGCTTGGTGAGGAGTCCTGCCTAGGCTTTGGAGGACTCTAAGTTCTGAGCATCAGGAAGCTGCCCAGGTTTCAGTGACTGGGTCTATGAGCCATCATCCCAGTTACTCACTAGCAGAGGGACAGATGCTTTCCCCCGGTGTCTCTTGGGCTGTCTAGAGATCTGGGTGCACAGTGGAAGCAGCCCTGACCAGCAAAGCTGTGGAGGCCAGGGAACATCAGCCTAGGTCTGTATCACACACTAGCTGGCTTTCTAGCCTACCTCCAGTCCCTTCTTTACCTTGGTGTTTACTATCAGTGATGTAATCCAGTGACAGTAACGTGTGTGTGTGTGTGTGTGTGTGTGCGTGTGTGTGTGTGTGTGCGTGTGTGTGCGTGTGTGTGTGTGTGTGAGAGAGACTCTTCCTCTCTCTGTGTGAGTCTGTGTATGACGATCAGTTTATTTACCATAGAATTAAAATATTTACACCTCCATTAATAAATAAACAAGTGAAGACTCTGACCTATTTTTTGGTAGAGAGAAGTTCTGGAATTTCCAGTCTCTGGATCCTTCTTCCATTGTCCTTTTTTGGCCCCTGGAATGAGAGAAAATAGATTACAGCTGGGAGATAGCAAGAAGCTAGGCGGAAAAATTAATTAAGTGCATTCATTCATAGAAACAGCCACCCAATTGGATTCAAGTAATTAATGCCTTACACATATTTCTGAAACTCTCTTTGCATTTCCTTTGGGGTTAAAACATGTTTAAAAAATTAATTTACTTAAAAATCATGCTTTCAGTGCATTATTTAGAAGGACAGTGTGGTGGGATGGAGGAAGTACCTGGGTCAAGGTGGGGATGAAGCTGTCACCGACTGTGACCTTAGTGACATCTTTAAGTGCCACAAGTCTCTGCCTCATCTGCAGAGCAAAGTCTGCAACTGAACAATCCAAAAGGATAGTCACCAGAGCCAGGCAAAAGTCTAGCTGCTTCTCTGTGTTAGCTGAATTCGACTAAAGTCTAGCAAACATCATCCCACGTAGGAAGGCAGACTATTTAGCAAGCACTGCTCTGATCCAAGTAATATTTAGGCACTTTGCTAAGGCACTTTCCACGAAGAGATTGAATTATTTTAAATTGAGTTAATTTGTTAAAATTCATTAAATGCATTTACTATCATAAGTCATCTTTGTTATGCATCCCTAGCTCATTTAATGAGCCCAGTTTAACACACTTTTTTCTTCTGCAGGCATTGCATGAGCTTTCTTGACATGTCTGGTGAGATTTTCCTACACAATGGCACCTCGACTACTCACTGGGTAGCTGATCTAACCTCCCGTCCCTCATGCCTTCTCCATGCCAGCTAATCCTGCCCCTCTATTCCTGGAAGTTCTCTACTTCCTGCTGTGACCTTTCAAGATGATCAGCTCTAGTCTTTTTTTTTAAAAAAATATTTTATCATTTTTATCTTATGTGTATGACTATTGCCTGCATGCCTGTAAGTGCACACACATACAATGCCCGAGGAAGTCAGAAGAGGGTGTTGGATCCCCTGGAACTGGAGTTACAGGTGGTTGTTAGCTGACATGTGGTGCTGGGAACTGAACCTGGGTCCCCTGCAAGAGTAGCCAGTGCTTTTAACCACTGAGCCATCTCTAGCCCCAGTTTTGGTCTTTTTAATTTAAGGAGAAAGGTGGACTGAAATTTGCTAAAATTTTTATTTATTTATTTTTATTTTATGTATATGAGTGCTTTGCCTACATGCATGTAAGTATACCCAGGTTGTGCAATGCTTGAAGAGGCCAGTAGAGGGCATTTGGTCCCCTGGGACTAGAGTTACAGGTGTTTGTGAGCTGCCTTGTGAGTGTAAGGAACCAAACCTGGATCCTCTGTAAGAACAGCCAGGGTGCTTAACCACTGAGTCACCTTTTCAGCCCCTGAGATTTGCTTTTAATTTCATTATGTCATTTTTAGAGTAATGTTCAGTAGCAAGTGGCCAGATTTTCCTCTTAGCTCGGTGGGAAAGTGAGGACGACGTGGCCTGGGAGTGGAGATTTGCTTCCAGGGGAGCAGAGCAGGCTGTTTGGTGGCAGAAGAGCTGTGACATGCCAAGTTGCCAGGCTCCTGCCCAGGTGTCTGAATGCTACAGAGGAGGCATTCAGTGTGACTTCCACTGCTGGGGCAGGCCCAGCTAGAATAGGCTGAGAGATTCAGGAGGGATGAGGCTGGGAGAGGGAGAGTGGAGTGTGGGAGGAGGGGGTCTTACTGCAGTGAGTTATTCAAGGCAGATATTAACAAGTTCAGAAAAAAAACCTGGCCGTCTGCATAGATGAAGTCTGTTTTAAAATGTGTACACATAGCAAGTGTCATTAGCAGTCTGCCTCCCGGCCAGGTCTCTCTCTGATTTAAGCCATTCCGTAGAGTTCAGATTTCAGACACACACACACACACACACACACACACACACACACACAGTTTCACATTATTATTTTTCACCATCTTAGAGTTCAAACTCCAGCTGTACAAGTCTTCAAAGGAGAATTAGGTCTTAAAAAATAATTCACGCTGTTTCTCATCAGTTTGCAAACTTCCTTTGAGTGAATGGAATGGAAAGTCAGAACTTGACTTATGCATCCACAGAGAAGCAGTCTCACACAGGAGGGATGGTGGTCAACCCTGAGCCTGTCAATGTACACATGCCGTGGGTATCCACCATAAAGGTGAGAAATAACCAGAACAGACTGGAGATGTCTGGAATTTCTTAACTAGGCCTCCCCCCTTGTTCCCTGCCCCATAGAGATACCTGTCCAGCAAACATCTACACTTTCTTCTCCCCTCTCCCGGGTCACTTCCTGAAAGCTTCCCTTTATTACTATGATAGTATTGATTATCACCTTGATAGAATTTATAATCACCTAGAAGATGTGCTGGTGAGGGATTATCCAGATTAGAAATATCAAGTTTAGATGAGCTTCTGACAAGGCCTGTGATGGATTATCAAGATTGGGTTAATTGAGATCAGAAGAGCCTCTCCTTGTGGTGGCTCCATTCCAGTCTGGGATCGCAGACTCAATAAAAAGGAAAAGGGGAGCTGAGCACCTGTATTTGCTTCTCTCTGCTTCCTGGCTTTGGATGCAATGTGAGCCACTGCCTCAGTCTCCTACTGCCATGACTTCCCCACCAGGATGGACTGGCTGCACCTTGAATCCCACCAGGATGGACTGACGGCACCTTGAACCCACCAGGATGGGCTGACAGAATCTTGAACCCCACCAGGATGGACTGACGGCACCTTGAATCCCACCAGGATGGACTGACGGCACCTTGAACCCACAAGGATGGATTGACGGCACTTTGAACCCCACCAGGATGGACTGACAGCACCTTGAACTGTGAGCCAGAATAAGCCCTTTCTATCTTAAGCAGCTTTTATCAGGTTAACTAACACAAATGACTTCAACAAAGTATAGACTGGGTCCATATTTACATGGATCCCTAACTGGCCTTTCTCTCTCTCTCTCTCTCTCTCTCTCTCTCTCTCTCTCTCTCTCTCTCTCTCTCTTTCTCTCTCTCCCCCCTCTTTGCTTTTCTTTGGAATGTTGCAGGTCCAGAGCCAAATTACAATTAATCTTGGGCTATCTTTATCCCTTTTAATAGTCATTTCTTGCCCACCTCTGAGTCTGACTTAACATCCTACAACTACCAGGTAAAAGATTTTGGAATGTATCAACTTAGCTTCTAGCAACCCAAAGGTTAAGTGTGTCCTCAGATAGCATCTGAGGCCTTTAGCAGAGATTCCCCACTTTGTTTGAACTGCCTACCTGACATTTCCACCAGAGTAATTGAAAAATGCCTTAATTGATGACTTTCTTTGAAGTTTCTTTTTGCTGTGAAAGATTCACTAAACTGTTACCACATTGGAACATGGAATCTGGGGTGACCTGACTCTGTGTTCTCTGGCCAAGGTCACTCATATTTTTCCCCAGAATAAACTTTCTCTTATTCCTTTTGAGGTGAGAGTTGTGTCATGTTAATATGATAGAACAATCAGTTAGGTAAAAAGTGTGGCTTAGTCAGTTACAGAGGTGTAAATCCATGTCCTGTAACTATTACCTCATCTGTTTGACCACACTTGCTTCGTTTTGTACCCCAAACTTCATGACCTTGTTATTTTGTACAACAGGGTATAGAACACAAACGACATTTTAACTTGAGACCAAGAAACATCAAGAAAGTAAAGACCTGCCTGCTACCAATGTGAACTTTTCCTAGAGTAAAATTGAGCCGTTGAGTTATTTTTGTCTTCGTTTAGCCTTCCCTCCACGTTCAGGCTGTGCCCTGACTGGTCTTCCCATGGCCATCTGGCTTTCTCCAAATGCAGAAATCATATCGTTGTTAGTCAGTTAATTGCTCAATATTTTCACAGGTGAACTGAACACTGTATTCCGTGGTATTCTTTACAGCAGGAACCGTGGCCTTGTTAGCTAATGCTGTGCCCACTCTTGTTACATCATTGCCCTTGACTTTGCGTTTCCTTCCATTTCCCCACTGAGAGGCTTCACGTGTTCCAGCAGACTTCTGTACAGCTTCAGCAGAGCACGACACATGTGTCTGTGTCATGAGATATCATTGGCAGTTTTTATCACTCCTCTTCTAGTTGAAAGACCCTTACCCCTCATTATGACTTCAGAAATATTGATGCTGTTGTGTCCTATCATCATCTGCTAACTGTGAAGCCTAGAAATGCTTTGGTAGAAATAACACCATGTTTATTTCCATGCTTACGAGCATCACTGTTGAACCCCAGTCTCTGATACAAAAGCTTCAGCAATGGCCCAGGTCGTCAGGCCCGGGTAGGAGAGGTATTTTCCCATGGACTGCTGTGCCAGCTTCCTGGGATCAGACTTTGAGTTCCCCTAGCCAATATAACATCATAATCACTTACACAGTCCTTGCAGAACCACAGCTCCACCTGGAACCTGTGCTTTGATTTTATCCTACCGTCACCACCACATTTCCCCGTCCACTGGTGAAATATCCGTGATGTGGAGGGAAAGCCATTGTAGAGAAACCAGAAAGGGAACGGGATCCCCAACACCTCACCCAGAAAGCATTTCCCACGTGGGAAAGCTGTGGCTCCGTTCCACCCAAACAGTAGACTAGCAGAGCAGCAGAACGCACAGCCAAACGCAGCAGCTGTTACCCACATCACCCAGCTGCCACCACTGTCCTGGCAGGAATTGTGTGGTGAAAATGACATGCAAAGTGGCTCTCCTCACCAACCTCATTACATCCTGGGGGACCACACACACATAGTGGCTCACCCTGACCACCCAGGACTGAACACCCACCAGTCTGGACTGCCTGCATGACATGCCCAGGACTTGAACACACAATGGCTCACCATTAAGAGAATGAGGACTCTCTAAAGTGAAGACCCCACAGTCCATCTCCATATGCTGGTGGATCTTTGGCTCACTGTTTACAGCGTGCTAAGTAAATGTGTCCATCACATATGAGGGTCTTTCTATTCCCTTAGGAAGTCCGTGAGGGTTTCTCCCTTCTTTTTAAATATTTATTTTATGTGTATGAGTGTATTGCCTGCATGTTTGTAAATGCACCCGTGTTGTACAATGCCCTTGGAGGTCAGAAGAGGGCATGGGACCCCCTGAACCTGGAGGTAAAGACAGTTGTTAGCTGCCATGTGGGTGCTGAGAATCAAACTCAGGTCCTCTGCAAGAGCAGCAGGGCTTTTAACCACTCTCTCTAGCCCGTTTTCCCCGTCTCCAGGCAACTCATTACATCTTCTATTGTTGAGATCGGTGAAGGCTTAGATATACCCAGACATCAATTCCCTAAGAAGTGTTGATCATGTCTTCTCAGGAAAACTTCCTGAACCTACTCAAGGACAGTTTCAAACCAGCTTTTTAAGAAAAGACATGCAGAGAAGCCAGCTCATTGCATCAATGACCTTCTGATGTCATAAACTCAAACTTCTCCACTCAGAGCAGGATAATGCCACTGAAAAGAAGCATATGACTTGTGAGGTGGTATGGGGACCATCTGAGCCTATGCAGAAGATTCCTGAAAGCCCCTTCCACCACCCGATCAGCAGGCAATGTCTTCTTTTCCCTTTATTACGATGCCTTGGTAATAAACCATGGGGAGGCAGATTGGAGTGTCTTGTCAACTTCTGGCCTTCTTTGATCATTGATTGTGTGATAGAGCTTTTTCTTTTGGCAAAATCCTAGTGCCCAGCATTGGGCCTTCACTGGACATCACCGCTGTTAAGGCTCCCTGACATGATGGCTTCCCTCACTAAAACATGCAAACCAAAAAGAAGGAAATTGCAATCCCATGTGATGTCATGGGAGAGATGTCCTGTCAAGGTCGTATTGTTTCTAATCCCAGAGTCTATATTTTTGTTTCTGTCCATAGTTCCTGTGTTCCTTGTAATGTCTTAAGTGACTATAGCACTGTATATTTTTTTATATTTTATATTTTTTATATTTGGTTTTTGGCTTCTGCTTCCCAAAGGCAGCTGAATATGTGAGACTTGTGTCTTGAGCTGTTCATAACAAGCCCCTGGGTTTATGTCCATGAAGTAGTTCTAGAGAGTTCCCGTTTACATAACCACAGAATTCAGAATGGAGTTGGTTGCCAGGGGAAACAACCAGGTGACTAGAGGGTTGGAAATCATCACCCTGCTCCCCAACCTGGGAAGAAAAGGGACTTAAGAGTTCAATTGATTACAAATGGACATGATTTAGTCAGTTATGATTAAATAATGAAGCTTCCATAAACGGCCAATGACATAGTTCAGAGAGTATCCAGGTTTGTGAATGAGGGTACTCCCACATGCCTAATGGGGGGCACATGGCCACTCCACAGTGTGGGTGCTGCCATGCCTTAGACTTGACTAGATCCCACCCTGCATACCCTTTTATCTGACTCTCCATAGTGACCTTGAAAATACCCTTTGTAGTAAGTGGGAACATGTATGTAAGATGTTTCTCTAAATTTTATGAGATGTTTTAGCAGATTATTTGAACCCAGGAGTCATTGGAACCTCAATTTATAGTTGCCCACTCAGAGCATAAGTCACAAACTGGAGTTTGGTACTAGCAGCTAAAGTCTTTTGGGACTAAGTCCTCAACCTGCAGGGTCTGATGTTTCCCCCACGTAGGCAGATCAAGATCAAATCAGAGGACACAGCTGGAGTTGGCTGGAGAATTGCAGGACTGATTACATGCTGTGTGAGGAAACAGTCCTGCACACTTGGGGTCACATAGACTGTGCCATACACTGTGTGTGAAGTAGAGAGAACAGTTATCTGCCTCGCTCGCACTTGAAGGAGGGGATTAAACAGGAAGGGTGACAAGTTCTAGGGTGTGGAGACACGGGGTATTTCAGTCCATCTGCTGCAGTGATTACAAGGCAGAGCCACGGGAGTAGAAATGACACAACGCCAGAGTCTGATAACCCTACGGGGCAAATCATAGGACTTTTCTGCAACCCATTTCATAACCATCTACACTGCCTGTTACTAAGTTCAATTCTCACAAGTTTTTCAGCAGGTTCCAACAACCTGGCTTTCTAATTCTTGGCTCTTACACATGAGCCACCCATATGATTATTGTGGTAGCAGGATCCCGCGCTTCCAGATCCCTTAAAATAGTTACCACAGCAGTTGCTAGAAGCTTTTCCAAGTGTTTGATGCTCATTTTGTTTGTGTTCTATTGGGTCCATAAGATGTAAAAGCAGTATGTGTGGACGTCCTTCGACTTACAAATCCCTGCACACAGCTTTGTCTAAACACAGACAATGTTTAGTTCTCTCCTGAAGCATCTAAGCCAATCCTAAATTTTGAGATATCATTCACCAGGACCTAGATACCTGACTCTATCCATGTGATTGCATTGCTTAACTCAAAAAAAAAAAAAAAAAAAATGAAGGGACATACAACCTACTTGCCTAAGTTTTTCTCGTATGTTTGTTTGAGTTCAAGTATATTTATATAATGTAGTCTCTCAAGTTCATGAAGCCTCACCATCAACATTCTTTGATCTCCTATTTAAAAAATATTTATTGTTTTTATTTTAAGTGTATGAGTGTATTGCCTGCATGCATGTAAGTGCAGCCATGTCATGTAATGCTCACAGAGGTCAGAAGAGGGCATTGGATCCCCTGGAACTGGAGTTAGAACTGCCATCTGGGTGTTGGGATTCAAACCTGGGTCTTCTGCAAGAGCAGCCAGTGCTCTTAACTGCTGAGCCATCGTTCTAGTCCCTGATCCTCTATTTTTATATTAGCTGACTGGTCCCTGAAAGTTTAGCTGATGGCCTTCACTGAGGAACTTGAGAGGATCTAATGATAATGGACTGACTACTACAGGAGACTGAATTTTACCCCTCACCTGTTTACCATCTTCCTAGTTCCACGACGTGGTGGTTAATTTTCCATGTCAATTTAGTTAGGCAATGGTGTCTTGATGGTGCTGTAAAGGTATTTATTTAATGTTATTAGCATTTGCAATCCATCAGTGGACTCTGAGTCTAGCAGATGACCCTGCATAATGTGCTCAGTCCTTTGGATCTGGAGCAGCCCATGTGCTGAAGGCTTAGCCACCAGCCTGCTATACACCAGCCTGCAATACCATTGGGAGGTGGTGCAACTTTTAGAATGTGGGTCTTAGTGAGAGGAAGTGAGATCATTGGGGGTTGTCCTTGAAGGTGATATTAGGAACCCACATCCCAGCTGTGGGTAGAGATGTTTCTCTCTACATCCCAGCTCCCAAGAGATGAACAGATTGCCTCTGTCAGGGGCTCCTGCCATGATGAACTGTGCTGTCATAGGCCCAAAGCAATAGGGCCAGGTGAGTGGTGACGAACCCTTTTGAAACCATCATCCCAAATAACCAACTCTTCCCTTTAAGTTGATTTCAGTTATTATGTCACAGTGATGGAAAGCTGACTGACAGGCTGAAGAAGGAATTCTTCCTCAAGATTGTGACACGAAAAGCTGCCAGGGTTACCTGCCTGCCGCCCTGAGGAATTTGGATTCAGGACCACAACATCAGCTGTTACACAGATCTCCACATGCCAGCCAGACTGGCTTGCAGATTTCAGAATTGCCAGTCTCCACAGTCATGTGATCCAGT